ATACATACAAATAGACGGACAAATCCCCTGAATGTCAGTAATAGACAATCCAAAAGCTTTCTTATTTGAACTAAGAACTTTAATCAACTTGTCTTCTTGATCTTTTTCAAGCTCAACAAAGATAATTACAGACAAGGTTGACTCTTTTCTTAAAAAGTCATACTTTAAGTGAGTAGGTAACGCTTTCAGTTCTAACTTAGGATCTTCAACTATGGAGGTTTCAAATGTTTCCCTAAGGATGATGTATCTAGGACTTAATCTATACAAGATTCAATAGAATGAAATCTATACAAGATTCAATAGAATGCATTCTACAAAAATCCTCACCCTGATCCTTTGTAAACTTTATTAATTTTAGGACATTATAGACGACTTTGTTATCTTTAACTCTCAAAAATAGCTCTCCCTTCTGATCATTAATCATATCCCTACCGATAGCTAAGAAAGGTTTACCGAAGATGATAGGTATTTCCCTATCTTCTTTCATATATAAAATAATAAAATCTATGAGTAAAATAAACTTATCAATCTTTACCAAAACATCTTCTAATACCCCATTAGGATAGGTGAATAAATGATTATGTAGAAATTTGTTCTATGGCTTCAGTAGAAGATATGTTATTTGTGAACTTTTTAAATATTTTTTAAAATATAAAAATTGCCTATTCAAATTTTGCTTTAATAATCTTTAAGTAAAAAGTGGTGGTAGTCTCTCAATTACCTTCCTAACAGGTTTCCAATTTTCTTAATTGGTTGATATGGTTCCTCATACTTGCTGATTTCTAATAGACTTCCTGAATAATTTCTTTTATTTACTTCTCATTCTTCCGAACCACTTCTTTTAATTCTTTTACACGTTTTAATTTATTTGAGTATTACTTGGTAAAGTTCCTTGCATTCTACTTTTTAATGATCTAGTTAATAGCCCTAATTGATTTTCAAAATTTTTAATCACAACAACCTAATTTTTTAATTGTGTACCCATCTGCAAAACTAACTCTCGTAATGAAGATTTTTAATCCTTAGGTTGATTGTCTGAGTTAAATAGAGAGGGAAAATAGGCCTTGGGTTTGAAAAATTTTTAGAAAGGGTGGTTCCAATTTCCTAGTTGATTTGGATGGTAAAAGTTTCAATTATTATTACCATTTTGATTATTACTCTAGTTAAAATTTTGGATGAGTTCTTCAATCAGGATTATATGTATTTGAGAAATTAATGTTATTTCTATTATTGGTGGAGTTAAGGGACTATTCTTGATGCATTTGGATCATTAGAGGATCCACAAATATTCTCTTCTACAGGAAAAAGTGAATTTTAGGTAAACTAACTCCAAAATTACCAAATTCCTAGATAGCTACCTGCACAGTTAAAATAAATAAAGCATTTGTTTCATTCTTACTAGTTATCTTCTTACGATTAGCTCTTTTAGACGGTCATCAAAAATTATTGGCTATAATTTATTTGATCAATGCATAAGCTTCATCGAATTGTTTGGACATCAATGATCCACCGGTAGCTGCATCTATAATCGATCTAAAAGAATCTATCAAACTATTATATAATGTTTGAATAAAGAGCCAATCAGGTAATGCATGATGATGACACTTTCTAAATAATTCCTTAAATCTTTTCCAATCCTCATAAATAGTCACCATCTAACTGAGTAGATGAGGTGATATTATTTCTAAGCTTAGCAATCTTTGATGGGAGAAAGTACTTAGCTAAAAGTTTGTTTGGTAAGGCATTCCAAATCGTGATCGAGTATGGGGGTAAGAAGTTTAACCACATCTTAGTTTTATCTCTCAAAGTAAAAGAAGATAGCCAAGTGTAATTGTTTCAATTCAAAATTGTTAGCCTGAATACTGTGTCTTTTAATGCTTTGATGAATACCTTCAACTATAGGGTTAGCATATTCCCTAAGAAGTCTGGGTTCATCATTTTCTGAAATTTATTAAGTCATTTTTAAATATTTTTGAAAATTTTACCTTTTCTAATTTTTTAAGTATCTTATCAATTTCAATGTTAAGCAAAATTTTTACTGGTTGTTTATTATTGCACATGCAATTGTAAGGAATATAATAGGAAATTTGTAAAACAATGAACATTTAACAAAAATCAAAATAGCAATAATCAATGGCAACACAAGAACAACAACGTCAACATGAAGCCTTTATCCCACTATGTGTGGTCGGCAACATGGATCCGTTTTCTCCATTGTGCCCTGTTAAAAGTTAAATTCTCATTTAAATCTAATAAAAAAAGGTATTTTCTAATATTTTCTAACCAAGTCGTGTTAGGTCTACTTCTATCATTCTTAACATAAGTCAAATCTAACACATCTATTTTCCTAACTGGGTTATCGGAAGGCCGGCATTTTATGTCACCGAATCATCTGAGGCGACTCTCTCTAATCTTATCTTCCACTGGAGCTACTCCAACCTTTTCACGTATATGCTCATTTCGTATCCTCTCTAAGAGTTAAGCCACTCATCCGCCTGAGCATCCTCATCTCTGCAACACTTAAAATTATGCTTCTCTTTTAATGGCCAACACTCTGCACCTTAAAGCATTGCAGGTCTAACCACCATCTTATAGAATTTTCCATAAGTTTGATGGGGACTTTTCAATCACACAACAAGCTCGATGCATTCCTCCACTTCAATTATCCAGCTTGAATTCTACTAATAATATCGCCATCTATTTCACCGTTACTCTGAATAATAGACCTAAGATATCTAAAACGTGTACTCTTATTAACGACTTGATCACCCAAAGTCACAATCCCTCCACTAGAATTATTATTACTAAAATTACATTCCATATAATAGCAACACAAAGCAGGTAAAATAAAAAATAAAGACTAGATTAAATTAGCAGTTTGTTCAACAATATAAAATGCAAAATAGAATAATTAATTTCATATCCTCGACAGTACATTTTACCCATACTACTATCTTTTTAATTTTGGTTTGCTTAATTCTACTATGTAACTCTTGTTCTATGCAAATATACATATCATGTTAAGTAATAAAATAATGAAAGGTGTATCGTTCCCATGAGGACTAAAATTTTCTAAAATCACTTTGTGTGTTGCATAAAAGGTGAGTGAGTTCCATATTTGTCTCATGAAAGCGGCGAGTTTTCTCATTATGTTGGAGGAAGGGGTGAGCGGCCTAGATGCACGATATAGAGAGTGAGTTCTTGGAGTTATTATGCTATTACTTGCTCGCTAAGAGGAAAAGATTCGATAAGATCAATTTCCCTAATGGAGAATGGTAACTTGCTAGTTATTTGCTGAAGCTTGTGAGATGGCTGTAGCTGCTTTGTGGCTAATTTCTGACATTGCACGCATCTTTCCAAAAACTCCACGGAGTCTTTTCTAAAGTTCGGCTTAAAGTACTCTTGTTTGATAATTTTATGAGCAATTGTCTTTCTACTTGTGGCTCCCACACTCATTGGAGTGTATTTCCTTGAGTATCTTATCTGCTTTATCTCAAATTCAGAAAGTCATTGATCTTCTAAATAACTAGTCCACAATGAGAAGATATTGGGTTGCTTTAAATTTGAAACTTTTCGGATCTGTTATCTTGGATGAGACTTTCTTTTCCTTCAAGTACTCAATGAAAAGATTAATCCAACTTGTTGAATGGTCAACCTTGATCTGCATCACGTCGTTGATTTGGTTCACAATTAGTTGCGAGTAAGAGTACACAATTAAATACTTGGCGCCTACTCCCACTATGAACTTTAATTCAACAACAAGAGCCTCATATTTATCTTGGTTGTTAGTCCCTTGAAAATTACTGTGTGTCACCTGGATTAGAATGATCCTAGTTAGGCTCGTCTAGATGCTCCATGTTTGCCTAACATCCCATCTATGTGCTAATCTCCAAGACTGGTCCTCGCTGCTAGCTAGTTTTTTTTCGGTATCTGCGCAGGTGAAATCGACGAGGAAGTTGTCAATTGCTTGAGCCTTGATGATTGTTCATGGTGTGCAAGAGATTTGAACTCGTTCACCT